GAACAGAGCTCCCTGAGAAAGATCTATTTTTTAAATGAAAAGCAATTTCTACTCCGTAGAGCATAACCAAAGACTCCCTGCCCTTCCAAACATTTCCTGTGTACTGTTTTTCGAATAAAGAGGATCTGATTTCTTTTAGTCTTTCTGTTACATGAAGTAAAACTTCTTTTTGAAGAAATAAATTATTGCAAAATCATTGCCAAATAATAAGCTTGTTGAAGATTCCTAGAATCTTCTATACAGAAAACTGGAGATATGGATAGAGAATTATCTCTAGGTCCAAGAAAACAATTTCCTTTTGTCCCTCCATGCTTGTCTTCTGGTGGAAATGAAAGAGTAATTATTTTTCCAAATTTCAGACAAGAATGTAAGACCACAGGCACTAGGATAAAAAAACGTGGGTTTCCAGATGTCCTCCCTGGTGTAATTATTATAAAATCAAAATTTAACTGACGTTATTTTCTACCTTAAGAGCAATGAACCGTTAATAATTTAGAAAAGCCATATCCAAATTGACTTAGTGACTAATTCAAGCAAATGCTTAAAATAAAACAGCTTGATTCATTTTAATTATTTACGATCACTTGAATACTCTTCAAATATAAAAACAACACTAAAACCTACTTCTTATTTTGAGATCCTTCAGGGAAGCTTTTTATGAATAGATTAAAATTGTTTGTAATAAACATACAGTTTGCCTATAAGCAAAACAATGTTCCTAAAGCATACTCAACGACAAGTGAATTAAATGACGGCATATTTAAGTAACAAAATGCTGAAAAATAATATTTTAAAAATATTTAATATCTTGGGAAACCATTAATATCCTTCGTTAGAGAAAAGTACAAATTAATGTGTAAAATAGGACCTTAAATATGTAACATCAATACATATATTTATATAATTTTTTCTGTCTGAAAATATAGAGAGACTTATGAAGTGGGAGAAGTTTGAAATACACTAAACTATTAAAAATGCCTATTGTGGCGTGATGGTATTACAAGTAATTCATATTTTGTTTTCATCCTTTTTTATAGTGTACAAACCTTGTGCAATTAGAAACTACTATTGTAATCATAAAAGGTCTTACAATAGTTTAATGCAGATGAAATACATTCTTTGAAATATTATTTACAGATGTAATATATTTTATTGGTATAATTGTGTCAAATATGGTACAAAAATGAATTTTATATATAGTAATTCTTATCCAAATTCTCAGGTTTCAATTAATGACTTTCAAATAAAGTTGCAATGTTTTTGCTTTACTTATGAATTTGAAAGTTTCCATTTGATGTTAGAAAATACAATTACAATGTATAATATTTGATGTAAAATTCTTTAAATATTTTGAAAAATATAAGTATAATATAACCTTTCAAAGCTCTTTGAAGTAAGCCATGCTGCTTTCCTATTTATCAAGCAGTACAAATGAAAGGACAGAGATTAATTGATTTCTTCTAAGATTAGATGGTGAATTTAACTTGCAAGGATATCTTGTTTTTCTTTCCTTTGAGAGACATTTTAAGCTGATTAGTGAAACTACAACATCAATATAGTAGCTTCTGCGGGAAAACTTACCGAAAGCTTTTTAAAAGACTTGAACTATGTATCATTATTATCTTTGCTAGTCTGTCCTGAGAATATGATACTAGAGTAGGCATAAAAATATAATTATTAAGGAATATTTTTAAACCTCAGGTTGACCAAAAAAGTTTCTTATAAAATATGAAATATATTGCTCCAATTTCTTAAATATTTATTTGTGAGACATAAAAAAACAAAAATAGAAATTTATGCTTGTAGTGCCTTCTAGTTAGGAGCAAAACTTCTCACTTAACAAAGAGAAAGATTGAGGATTGAGAGGGTAGATTCTTAATTCAGTATTATTAGAAGATATTAAAAAGAAAAGCAGGGCCATAAATAGTTCAAATGGTTTTAATAATGCTAACTGAACAATAGTACACAGCTGAAATCTGAATTTGGCCAATGGGCTATTTTGATTCCATATCATGTGAAGGTGTGAGCGGAAGAAAAACTTTGCAATAAGACAATTTTTTTTCAACATAATGATGAGAGAAGAGCAGAGTTGTAAAGGAAACATTTTCTTGCAGAACTATGGGGCAAGATATCTAAAAGAACTTCAGGTGAATTTTGGATATAATATGGTGGAAAAATCTGAACCGAAAACTGGAAGACGGACTCTTTTGGCTACTAATGATATATATCTGCAATGCTGTCTCTGGACCTGATTTTTACCGTATAAAATAGTGGTTAGAGAACTATTGCCCATTCAATAATAATATAATTGCATGAAATCATCATCTTGTGTTTTTTCTACATGCAACCCAGGAGCAATTTTGTCCTATATTGATAACTCTATTTTGGATGCATTTTAGATCTTCTTTCCTTAAAGATCCATTGTAAAATATAGCATAAAGTGAAACTGATCTTCAGTTTAATTTACAATCATAATAACATTTTTTTCTCACTCATGCTCTGCGGAGTAGAGAAAGACCTTGTAGCATGCTAACAAATGTTCTAAAAAATGGATGTGTTGTCATAGTACTTGATGCAAAAATGTATTCCTCTGTGCCATAATTTCAAAAGGTCAGTGAATTATCGAATACTTAAAATAGGAGGATGTATAATTACAAGATTCATAGTAATGGGGGATAAGATTTTTTTTTACAAAGAAAATGGTCCCATTTTATGAAAACCACCACGAGTTTTGTTCATTTCAAGTTATACTTATGGGTTGCCTTAAACAAAATATAACATGCTTTGAAGACACAGCAGTGAGTTCACTATTAAATCGAGAGAAAGACACATGGTGCACTGATCATGGGCATTTATCTTTTCTCTCTACTAAAATACCAAAAAAAATGTACAAAGAAAATAAGGTTGAAGGCAATAGAGGATAAAACATTTCAACATGTTTTACAGGTGGAAGTCAGAAAATTAACTGTGTAACAGAAGACTCTCTGTAGGTGGGTGCAGAGAGCACATTTATGATGGTCAGCAAAGTTCCATATTAAGGATTTTAGGTACAGTTGAAGACAGGGATGAATTTCAAGAATTAAAGCAGATTAAGAGAAACATCACATAATGAATTCCAATACTCCCAGCTAACCAACTCCCTCCAGAGATTGAGATTTTATTGTTTGACTCTCCTAAGAAAAGACTTCCTCGTCTTGAGGGAAGATTGACTGGTCTGCAAAGCTGGCCCTTGTACAAAGTTTAAAAAGAATCTTTTTAGGAATTTTGCTCTTATAGCTGCATAAATAGTTTAACTTTATCAGACATTTTGAGAAAAGTTCTACAATAAAAGAGAAAAGCACAAACACATAGCTAAACACGATTTATGAAGGGAAAAAAGTTATTTCATGGAACTGTCGAAAGTTCTTTAAAAATATTTAATTAGCAACTTTAGATAGGCAACTTTGGTATGTCCCAGAAATCAGGTTAAAAAACAAATAATTAAAAACAAAATAACAATATCAGAAATTTAAAAATGATAAAATCTCAACAAGAGGTTTAACAAGAAAAGTAAAAACATTATTTAAAAATAAAAATAATAGAGAAAAGTAGTAGGGGAAAGACAAGAAAAATATAAGATTATTGAATCCTTAAATTATCTAGGTCTACTCTTTGGCTGATGGGAATTAAAAAAGCAATACGGCATAAGAAAAGGTAAAAGAATGATCAAATAAATAAAGCAAACAACTTTCGTCTTAATGTAATCCCTTCTTCTACTGAACCATAGTCTCCAGCAGTACAAGAAAGGTAATTGTTAAGCCCTTGCTTTTGTAAGAAAAAAGAAAATATTTGTTCTATATTCACAGTTGATTAAGGAAATGTTAAGTTTAGATTTCTAGGTTGTAGATAATGTTTTCTCAGAATCTTAAACACTTGCTCCACAATCTTCTAACACCCAGTGTTACTGTTGGAAGGAGAAAAGACTAAGTATTCAGGGCAAAGAGTTTTCAATAAGGGAAAGAGAGAACAGGAATTCCCAGAATAAAAGCTGTCTACAGGCCTTTATAGAAACTAGGCTGAGGGAGGGACATCAAGGTGGTCTCCTATGAGAGCGGAAGATCATGGTATCTTGTGAATAACAAACTTCAGGGGAAATATAAATCATTGTTGAAGGTTGACAGATACGTTGGTGCTTTTTAAAAAAAGGATATAAACTAAAACAAAATTTATAATAAAAATAATTGATATAAGTAGATTTTAAGTGTTCTTACCTCAAAAATAATAACTTTGTGAGGGAACATATATGTTAATTAAGTAGATTTAGCCATTCCAAAATGTGTGTGTGCATGTGAGTTTACAAACATTCCAAACATCAAAACATCATGGTGTACACAATAAATACACACAATTTTAAAATTGTATTTGTCAATTTAAAAAATAAAATAAGCAGTATGAATTTCCCAAAAAACAAAAATTTATATGAGAAAAAGTACATGAGAATATTTGTGTTTGTTTTCTGAAAGAGTGGCGGGACTTTTGGAAGAATAGATAGTAAGCAAAGTAGTTAAAATTATTATTAGCTATTTTTGATATTCATAAAAAACCAGAATTTTTATGAATATCAAAATAGGAGTATGGAAAATTAATTCAAAATGTGACATTTGCATAGTCATAAAATATATAAAGCAATGGTTTAATTAAAATTGTGGTATAAAAATATTGGAAAGGTGGAATGCAGAGAAGTATATGGGGTAACATTTAACATATATAAATTCTCAATTTCTAGAAAGGAAACTTAGGAAATACTATCTGAATTTTGAAAACAAATGCCAGTATATGCATATTATTTAGAACAATCAAAAGAATTAAATTTGTTGCCTCTGGGTGGCAGGCTTGGATATTAGAAGAATGGAGATAGAAATCTCTATTTTTATATAGTATATTCTTTATGCTTTAAAAACATTAGTGATCTCTGCTTCTCCAGTTCGACAGACGGCATCATCTCTCATTCAGCACCAGCCATGTCCTTGAGACACCATGGCGAAGACAAAAGCAGCAGTGAACAAATTGGCCGTATTGGGTGCCTGGTCACCAGGGCTGCTTTTAATTCTGGCAAAGTGGATATTGCCATCAATGACCCCTTCATTGACCTCAACTATGTGTCTACATGTTCCAGCATGACTCCACCCACAGCAAGTTCCATGGCACCGTCAAGTCTGACAGCGGGAAGCTTGTCATTAATGAAAATCCTATCACCATCTTCCAGGAGGGAGATCCCACCAAAATCAAACGGGGCGCCACTGACACTGATTATGTGGTGGAGTCCACAGGTGTCTCCACTACTTTGGAGAAGGCTGGAGCTAACTTACAGAGGTGAGCCAAAAGAGTCATCATCTCTGCTTCCTCCACTGACTCCTCCATGCTTGTGGTGGACACGACCCACAAGAGGTACTAGGACAACCTCAAGATTGTCAGCAATGCCTGCTGCATCACCGACTGCTGAGCCCTTCTGGCCAAGGTCATCAACGACAACTTTGGCATTGAAGAGTGACCCATGACCACCGTTCACACCATTACTGCCACCAAGAAGACTGTGGATGGCCCATTTGGGAAGCTGTGGTGGGACGGTCCGGGGGTCCCTAAAGAGCATCACCCCTGCACCCAGTGACACAGCAAAGGCTGTGGGCAAGGTCATCTGTGAGCTGAATAGGAATGGCTTTCCGTGTCTCCACAGTCAATGTGTCTGTCATGGCCCTGATTTGTTGTCTGGAGAACCCACCAAATATAGTGACATCCAGAAGGCGGTGAAGCAGGCATCTGAGGGCCCCCTCAAAGGCATCCTGGGCTACACCAAGCACCGGGTTGTATCCTCCAACTTTAACAGTGACACCCACTCTTCCACCTTTGATGCTGGGGCTGGCATTGCCCTCAACGACCACTTTGCCAAGTTCATCTCTTGGTATACAATGAATTTGGCTACCGTCACAGAGTGGTGGACCTCATGGTCCACATGACCTCCAAGGAGTAAGAGCCCCTGGACCACCAGCCCCAGTGAGAGCACAAGAGGAAGAGAGAAGCCCCCAGCTGCTGGGCAGTCCCTGCTACACTCAGTCCCCGACCACACTGAGAATCTCCCCTCCTCACAGTGTCCATGCCAGACACCCTGAAGAATGTGGGAAGACCTAGGGAGCCTCACCTCATGTTCCATCAGTAAAGTCCCTGTACTCAAAAATGTATATATATACTCATATTATTTAACAAAAATAAACTTTTCCAGTTAATGTCTAATGTGTGTATGTATTTAGTATTAATTGCATGGTTCAAGAATGGCGGAAGATAAATTAAATTTTAAAAAAATAAGCTGAACAGAAAGGCATGCTAAGGATCTGGACACTCGTATGGTAGTAGATAGAAATTATGAAAGCGTTGAAAATAGCTAATATCAGTACAATTTATATTTTAGCTTCTGTAGTCTTTTATTATGGAAGCACTTGCTGCTTTAGCTTGAACTGCATCTCATTCTAATAGTATCCCTTTCTTTCCTAGCTGTTTTCTAGCTCAGTGTTCTTTACTAGCTTTATTTTACTCTCCATTCAAATTCTGATACTAAAATCTCCTACAGTTTAGCACTAAACACTTCTCTTTTCAATCTACGCCTTTCGTTCAAGAGACTTCATCAACCCTTTGGATCATAAGTAATAGCTATGCTGTGAACAGACCAATGATATCTCCGGTTCAGACCTCTCTTCTAGGTTCAACACCTGTAACACTCACTGTCTGCTTCACATTTTTACTTAGATATCTATCTCCAAGTTACCTCAGATCACCATGTTCAAAAACACACTCATGATATTCACCCTACCACCAAATTTTCCTCAAGTATTTCAATTCTTAACCATCACCTCCACCACCCTGCACTCAAGCCAACAGCTTGGAAATTTCTTGGGAAAATGATTCTCCTTTTCTTCCCACAATTAATTTATCACCGAGACCTGTTGGTTTTACGTATGTCTATCAGCTCTGCCTTATTTTGTCTGGGCTAATACAAGCATTAAGTGTTTTACCTAACATTTTAAAAATCTACTAGTTGAAGAATAATGGAGATGGCAGTTGATTTGGGAGTTGAAGGAAAGTTGACAGGCCTTAAAATCACCATTGCGGGAACACATCAAATTTTATATTAAGTCTAACGTAATTGTGTGTTCCAGAAGCATTTCTTACATATATATTCTTCACATTGTTTGCATTGCTTTTTTCTTCAAAGTATATCCTAAAAGTAACATTCCATAGTCTTAAAATTATTTATAGATTACTGGAAGTAACAATAATAAAACAAGGAGCTACATAATTAGGCATTCACTATGTTTTGTCTTCTGGTGATGATGATGGTATAAAATATAAACTAATTACTGAATAATAAAATATATTTCTTATTTGGCTAATGACTATGCATAAAGAAATTTAGAATCCAAAAGTAAATGCCACTCCTCAAACAAGTTTTCTTTTCTTTTCTTTTTTTTTTTAAGTGGAAGACTTTCTGCAATGCGGAAATTAGTCCTTCTGGGTTGAATTGTCAGAGTATCTCATTTTCAAGGAGATATCCAAGTCTACAAAGGAAAAAAAAAAAAGATTTCCGACATATTCTAAATGTATAGAATCAGCATACTCTCAACTAGTTCTACTTGTCTGAAATTAAAATATGGCAGAACAGAAGAACAAAAGTTCTTGGGACGCTTGTCACTTTCACTGACTATCTTCTCTTGCATGTAATCTACTCCCCAAGAACTGAGAAGCGGAATTCATAGTAGTAGCAGGATGAAAAGACAGCTCAAAGGAGGGGAAAAATCAATGGAAAAAAATCAATGTGAAAGTTGTAAAAGCTATACCAATTAGCTCTCTAATATATGGTCTTTTGAAGTGCCAAAGAGCATTTTTAAGTGCTACTTTTTATTTTTATTCGAATAGACTCACTGCTAATGGTACGGAAGCAATCATGTGAAACCAAAAAGAGACTAAACCCCAAAAAGAGCCTTCAGAAGCTAAAGAAGTATTTATAGTCTTTACGGTGAGTCTTTTATATTCACAGTCTGTTTTTCTTGCTTCCTCTGTGCCATCTTTCAATAAATGTGAACATATGAACTCTCAGAGTGTGTTTCAATCTCTTGAATAGAGCAAAAGAATAGAAGACACACTAATTTGCAACTTTGTAAGGTATTTTGAAACAAATTTATATATTTTTAATTCAAGTACATCATCATTAAGGAGTACAAATTCACGAAAAGTATGTTGGAAGATAGAAATAATGAGATTATTTTTTTAAAAACCTCATTTGGATTCTTGAATTTTTTTATGGAAAGTGTAATGAAAATATTCAAGGCTAGAGTATTTTTTATTCACCGTAAACCCTTTATTTCTCCAACTAAACTCTTAAAAAGATGAGAAAAATGAAGGAAATTAAGTTGGGATAAAAATCACAATCAGTTTTTAAGCAATAATAACTCTTATTTATGTAGTCCTTAATAATAACTCCTATTTATATAACCCAATACTGTTCTAGTGTTTATGACCTTGTCAATTCTTCTAATCTGTATGATTACCTTATGAGGCTAAAATATTATTATCTTCACTTCTAGATGAGTAAACAGAGTCATATATAAAATTATTAATTTGCCCAGCATTACATGGGTAAGCGGCTGAGGAATGTTTCACCCCAGGCTGTTTGACTCTGTGTTTTTAAACATTCAAATGCCTTTCAATAAAGCATCAATTTATTGCAAAGTGTTGTAGAACTTTATCTTATTTAGAATCAAATCATTAAAGAGGTGTGGTAACAGCAAACACTCGACTGGAAAGTCTGTGGATTCCAAAGCACTAAATTGAAAACAATAGAAAAGAAATGATCTGAATTTAAAAATCTGCTTTGTATTATTTATCCCTGTGTAACAAAAGTGACAGAGAGCAGGCATTCGATAAATATCTGTTGAAGGACTAACTAAATAGGGCAACTTTGCTGGTCTGTCATAAACTAAAAAGATATCTTGTCCTCCAACTTTCTACTTCTGTCTCTGAGAGTGAGTAGAAGTATAGCTTACCTATAGCAAAACATGCATAATATCTCCAGCAGACTTCTTATTAGAAAACAGTGGCATAAAATATTAAGGTCCTTGAAAAAAATCCCGACCTAGAATTTTACAGCCATATACATTTTTCCTTAATGTGAACGAGAAATACAATTGACTCTTGAACTACATGAATTTGAACTGCACAGATTCAATTCTTTCTTCTACTTCTGCAGCCCCTGAGACAGCAAGACCAGTCCCTTCTCTTCCCGCTCTTCCAAAGTCTCCTCAACATGAAGATGAGAAGGGTGAAGACTTTTTTTATTGTCCACTTCCATTTAATAAATTGTAAATATTTTTTATCTTCCCTGTGATTTTCTTAATAGCATTTCATTTTCTCTAGTTTGCTTTATTGTAAGAATATAGTATATGATACATACACAAAATATGTGTTAGTCGACTGTTTACGTTATTAGTAAGACTTCCAAGCAATAGTAGGCTATCTAAATAGTCAGATTTGGGGGTTCAAAGTCATGCACCAATTACTTTACTGTGCAGTAGTCAGTGTCCCTACCTCCTGAGTTGTTCAAGGGTCAACTGTACTTTCTCAGGCAAACAAAAACTGAGGAAATTCAGGACCAGCAGACCTGCCCTGAAAGAAATGTTAAAACAAATTCATCAGGAAAATGATATAGGTCAGAAACTTTAATCTATATAAAGAAAAGATAAGCTTCAGAAAAAGAATAAATATTTTCTTTTCTTATTCTAAATTGATCTGAAATGTAGCTGTCAAAGTAATAATAACGTATTGAGTGATCACATTACGTGGATAAGTAAAATGTCAGCCATGTCGTAAGGGATGGAAAGCAGGAACTGGACTATAAAGTTTGTGGACTAATTATGAAGTAGTATACTGTCCAGGCACAGTGATTCACATCTAAAATTCCGCAGTTTGGAAGTCAGTGGCGAGAGTGTTGTCTGAGCCTAAGGGGCTAGAAACCAGCCTGGGCAACTTGGCCAGACCCCGTCTCTATAATAAATCAAAAAATTAGCTGGGCATGGTGATGCATGCCTATGGTTCCAGCTATTTTGAATGCTGAGGCAGGAAAGTTGTCTGAGCCCAGCAGTCCGAGGATGTGGTGGCCATGAGCATTAAAAAAAAAAAAAAGGAATAGTAGTATTAAGGGTGGAATTAGATTATTTAAAACTGTATATTGTAAATTGTAGAGATACTATTAATTTTTAAAAGAAATATAATTGATATGTTAGCAGGTAATAACATGGATAGAAATACAATGCTAAATTAAAATCCAGAATGCAGAAAAAAGTGTGGGGTGAAGTAGAGAAGCAAAATACAACTATTAATCTGACTGTATTAATAATTCATGAATTTTAGAATACATTGAATAAAAGGCAGAGGTTGTAAGAATAAATAAAAAGACAACTATATATTGTATATAATAGGCTATTTTAAATATAGAAATTAGATAGGTTGCCAATAAAAGAATAGAGGAAATTATATGATGCTAACACGAACCAAAGTAAAACTCGAATGTCTTTCTATTATTTTCAGACAAAGGAACAAGGAATTCATCAAAGATAAAGATGGTGTTACATAATAATATGGGAATTATTTTTCTAGGATGGTGTAACATTCTTAAGCATCTACGTACTTAACAAGAGAGTGTCAGAGTACATGAGACAAAAACTTATAGAATTGAAAGGGTAAATAGGAAAAAAACACTGCTGTAGTTGAACTTCAGTACCACGTTCTTAGTAATATATAAACAACAAAGGCAGAAAATCAGTAAGGTATAGATGACCTAAGTAGCATTATCAATCAAATTGATTTAATTAATATTTAAGTAATATTTATCCAACAGCAATAAAATTTACATTTTTAAAGCCTACTTGGAATATTTATCAAGACAGATCAATGTCTTTTGACCATCAAACACACCTTAATAAATTTTAAAGAATAGATGTCATACCATGTGTGTTTTCAAACTTCAAGAAAACTAAACAGAAATAAAATAGAAAGATAGCTGGAAAGTCTTCAAACATTAGAAAATTAAGCAAAACACTACTAAATGACACGTGAGTCCATGGGGAAGTCTCAAAAAGCAATATTCTGAACTAAGTGAAAATGAAA